AAATCAATGTGCTGAACCTCACTAGGATGTTTCACTTTATGAAAAGAAAGACCCTTACTGTGCAAGGTGTCTTCTCCATTCAAGAAAACTCTCCTTTTCTAGTTGGTCTAGTTCCTCAGCTGTCATGTGTTCGTTCCAGTTTGGCCTTAAGTAAAAAAATATAATTGTGTCATCAATTTGTGATTTTAAATTATATACCATCTATAGGACTCTCTTAAAATGCACTCCATCAAAGTGGTGGTTCAAATTTTCCCTCTAAAAAATATTAATCACAGAATTTAACACTGCATTTTTTCTGGCTTTCTGTTGCCTAATGCTTGCATCCTTCGCTCTGACGAAGGACCAACGCTCAAAACGTCAGCTTTTGTAATCGTTACGGTGGCCAGTTTACCATTTCAACTTTGTTGATATATCCAAATTACTTGCATCCTTAGTTTTATTTTTCTGTTGTTCCTCCTGCTGTCTTACTTTTCTTTCGGGTTTTTGTGTTTTGTGGAGGTGAGTGTGCATGAGTGGTACCTGACGCTAACATGCACAAATTAATCACCTAGGCATTGCAACTTTTTCTTTCGTGCCTTAAGGGAAGTCTGTACTCTCTATATAGTTTTAATGTTGTAATTTTACCTATAACTGTTGGATACAAAAGTGAAGTAGTTGTTGTTTTTGTACAATTAAAGTTCACTAACCAGCAAAACAAAAAACAAAAATAATACTGCTTTGAAAAATATAGAGCCCAAGAGACATTTGGACCATAAAAATCAGTATCAACAAACCTGCGGGGAATCCTGAGGAAGTGCTGGTTTTCCCTCTGTGCTTGTTTAATGGCAGCAGCAGTTTCACTACTCAGGAGACCTAAATTACTTCCTGGTGTCACAATTGTTGTATTCAACTTTTCTGCAATTAAAAAGTTTATGAAAAGACAGATGTTCAATTATTGTTGTTGTTTGATTTATCATCTACGGGTTTATGTCGAATTAATTTGATGGCCTGCTCCCAGTTGGCTTGTTAGCTCAATTGGTAGAGCGCTGCACTAGTATCGCAGAGGTCAGTGGTTCGAATCCCGTACAGGCCTGAAATTTTTTTCAGGTCTGATTTTCACTATTGCTCAAATAGTGCTTTACTGCGAAGGATCGTGCACATATACATTATTATTACTATTAACATTTTGATTACTGCTGCTTCCATTTTGAACCTTGCTTAGCAGCCTGGCCACTTACATGTGACATAACAAAGTCTTATTTCTCCCTTTTCTATCTCTTGACAATTTGTTTGTTCAGCAATTATCTATAATTTTGTATTGTACTGAACAAAAAAGGCATTCTTGACTAAAATAATGATTTTTGCCAAAACTAGGAAGACCAGCAATTGTTTGTGAATCAACCCTGGGATGTCCTGCATGTGAGGTCAGGTTACTGAAACATTTTCCCCAAATCGTGGCACCCAGTGTCAAATTTTCAACATATCTGAAGGCAATTTTTAAACAGTTACAAGTAGGTTATTACTTGAAATCTAGAAAAGCCAATGTTTGGGCCTTCATTTGACGAAGTCAAGTTTCTGGAATTTTTGGCTTCTGGCAGGACTCAAAACCACAAATACTAAATCATTTCTGGAATATCATTGTTTCATGAACAAGCGAAACTATAATCATGAGTGATTGATCTTAACATCTCAAACACTAACCCTTAGATTTTTCTTAATGTAGCAGTAATTATTCGATGAATAAAAGAATATCTCCAAGAAAAATAAGTCTCCTGGTAACATTTAATGAAAAAAAAAAAAAAGAAAGGAAAATATCTTAAAAAACCAAATAACAAGTTTATTACGTGCCCATGTTAAGTGCAGCAAATACACATGAAGTAGTCATGAACTACATTTAGTTCATAGAATAATCACTTCACCTGCTGCAAACTCTGTGCCAGCAAGTTCAGCTGTTGCCAAGAAATCATCCAAAGCACTTTGTTCTGTGATGGACTGTAGATTAGGTCCAGCTTCATTATCAACTTCACTGCTATGTAACTGTCGAGAGGAAAATTTAGACCTTCTAGTTGGCAAAAGCTCAGACAATTTGTCTTCTTAAAAATAAATTCAAAATAATCGATATCTTTTGAATCACTTGGCATTATTTTGGCTCATCCTTGATGTAAAAACCTGTGAAGCTCACGAGTGACGTAAAACAAAGACAACAAAACATTATAAACAATAGCGTACAGCAAAACAATACCTCATGAAACAAAGAAAACCTCGTCAGGTTTTTACACCGAGGATGACCCATTATTTTACATGCCGTGTTTAGCAGTGACTGTTCTCATATCGTTAATAAAGAACAAGTGCATCTACTTCCAATCGTGATGTAAGGAAGAGAGGGCTTTTAAACCAATAAGCAATGAAAAATTCGAGAATATGTGATACAGAGCACGAAGAAAAAATAAAAATTATACCTAAAAACACAAGAGATTGAATTTACTCCAAGCACGTCTGAATCTGAAATGACCCACCAAAAGATGCGTGATCACTTACCCAACTATTTGCGTGCTTGATATTCCCCCTACTCTTAGCGCTATGCTTTATGATACTCTTCCCTAGGGCGTTTTGGTTTTTCTTGCCCATTTTCATTAAAAAAAATTGGAACAAAATCATTTACCCAAAAGACACGCGTTGCCGCTGAATTCCCAATATTCTTTTGTGTATGGTTCACGATTTTGTGTCACAGCATAATGTTCGTTCCCAGCGCTCTTCTCATCAACAAACACACGTGTAGTGTAGGCATTATATTACATGAAACCACTGAGAGTGAAGTTAGCAGTTCCCGAGGTCTGTATCTCTACTGTGCTATTATGGGAAGAAGCAAACTTTCGAGTAAGGGGTCAACTCAAGCAAACCCACCAAAAAAAGGTCCTGGGAGGAAGGCAAAGAAGCAACCAGCGCCAAAGTTACCTAAACAGTTAGGTAAGCAGGGTGCCATGTGATCTACTTGGCTACACAACAAAATCAAGCTAAAACTTTATTATATCTTACGTGAATAGAAGTGGAGACAATTGTAACGAAGCTCCAGTTTTAAGCCTTTCCTTTAAGGGACTTTATGTCACTACACGAGTCATTCAGTCATTTAGAAATGAATTCATACAAAAGAATCTCGTTCATAATAAGGAAACATAGCAGACTTGCTCCAAGACTAGTCCTCACTGCTTAAATTGTGAAACAGCGTCAGAGTTGTGTTGTGTTGGAGAATCGCTTAATAGAATATGGAATCTTTGTAGCAATGCATCTGTTCAGTATTAGATTACAAAATACTTCAGCATGTGGTAAGAGTAGCTGACAAGGCACAGAAGAGTGTGTCACTGCCGTCCTTATCACATTCTGATATGGTCTGTTTGTTATTACTGAACAGACCCACAACAGCAGGGAATCTATTTGTCTCGTATGATAAAGAACAAAATGTTTTTAATGAAATGGTGATGTCAGCATCAAAGATAAGAACCAAGCAAATTGTGGGTATAGTTCAGTAAACTATGTACTTGTGCATTTGTTGAAAAGACCTCATCTGCCAATTGCAGTCATGAGTTTCAATACGTTTTTATAATCATTTGACCCCCAAGAGTGACAAGCATGTAATTTCTGTTACATTAACACCCCTGAATCACACATCTAGGTCATGAGAAGAAAGGAAATGATCACCAACTAAAGGAGCTCTTGATTTTTAGACAGATTCAAAGTGGGGAATGGGCAAACTGATTTTAGGGTGTAAAGTGTATAAGATTTTCTTGTTCTTAGATTCAGATGGGAGTAATGTGCAGAAGCCCAGGAAAAGGTAAGTTTAAATGAGTACTATTATTTGTGAAGTCTATTAAAAGTCAGTCATACATTAAACAGAAATTATGTACTAGCAACATATCAGCCAGATAAGATGCATGTGGAAATCAACGTTGTGCATTGGTATTTCATTGAAGAATGAATGCAAGTATGAATTTCAAGTTGTCATTTTGCATTGGATAAGATTAGACTTACTATAGAATACTTAACAGCTGGAAATGTACCTCTTCATCTATGCTGCATCATGAAATTGCAGGTGTTCATAGCAAATGATTTATGTGATTGATCCCAAGTATGGATCTCCAGGGTGTTAGGTGTGATTTAATGTAATAATGATTTGAGTGTGAAAAAGGTTCTATGAAATCTATACCTTGGGATATATAAAAGTTGGTTGCTCAATTGTTATTGTGTTCCAGTGGGCCTTTCACTTCTTAACTTCAAGAGAACTAAATATATACTTTTTTCCTTAGAAAGTTAAAACCTCAGAGTGAACTTGTACCTGGAAAGAGGAAGGTAATAATTGAAATAGTCCTGAAATAGTGTCTTCTTTCTGCTGTCCAAGAGCCTGAAACAGACTACGTTATGTGCTTACTACTCTAAAGCCTATTGCATACACTGTATGGTGGGTGTACAAGCAAAAAGATCTGGCTTGCAAAATGTGTCAAAATATATGAACTTCATATATCCATTGTATCCAAAATGTGATTAGTTATTTAAAGTAACTTCAATTTTTAAATTTTTTCTAGTCTGAGGTAAAGAGAGCTAAGAAGGCAAGGTAGAGTACAGTTATCTTATTCGTCAATTTTATTGTAGTCTTTTGTCACAGCATCTCTGAAGGTAATTCAGTGGTAGAATTGTCATACATTCAGCCCCTTGGGATCACCACAAATGGTGCAAGATGCCAGAGGTTACAGAAAATTCTCACTCTCTATAATTTAATACTTAATGTATTTAGGATAGAATTACAAAATGATTTTTTAGCATAGCACAAAATAATATGCAGTGTCCTAGAGAATGAAATGTACCATAGCTCAACAAACCATAGTGTATATAAGATATTATCTGTCAAATTAACTCTATTTGATAAAAGATACATCCAAAAGATTCACTGCATATTGAACAAACATGGAGCCCAATGGACATGTCCCCTTAGGTAGCCATTTCACATCAGTTTGGAGGTACTTGGTTTGCTCATCGTGATTTTTAACTCGTGAATTGTGAGTGCGCAAGAACGAGTTGTAGATATGATGTGATGAATGGCGCTCACTCGCTCGCTCGATTGGTCGATTCCTGTAAACTTTTTTCTATTTTAGGCTTTTGGATGTATTTG